GGGACATTTTGGAAAAAGCAAAAGGAGAGAAATTTTAAAAGAAGCAAAAATGGACAAAAATGCCCTTATTTATTTTTAGATTTCCTAAGGAATCCAATACATTTGCATGTCTTTGATTTGAAAGTTGAGTGGTTTTTTTGTCTTTTTTGAAAAAGCTTTGGCTTTTTCCAAAAGTGAAAATTTTTTTATGTCTAAAACCTTAAAAACCTTAGAAAAAAACTCTTAAGTGGCATGACGTCGTTTTGACATTAGGAAAAAAAAAATTAAAGCACTGAGAGCTACGCACGCGCGCAACAAGCTTCTTGCTGGCTGTGGGCTGTGACTGCTTCCTCTTTGGGGCATTTCATCAATCACCTTCTGGGCAATTTGCAGGGGTCAAGTTCTTGGCCTCCTATGGTGGATTTATGGGTTTGCAGGGATCAATTGACCATCTTGCCCTTATGTGGATCCGCCACTGAGTCCCACCCCTCTAGGTGGGACTCGTAAGAAACAACATGTTGGACTATTGTCCAATTTAATGAGTCTAGTCTCAGCACACCAAACAACGCTCAGAATATTGTCAATTTCAATTGAAATAGTCTAGTACACTCCCACCCACAGAAGGTAAGGTAGACTGAGGTGAATAGTATCGAAACACTATTCTAATATTGTAGGGTATTTTAATACTAGGAGCATCTCCATTAAGCATTTGTGTTAAGGATTAGTTAAGGAACTGGATGAGCATTCTTTGAGGATGCGGAACCAAACAAAACTGGATGGCGAACCCAACCAAAAAAAAAAAAAAAAAAAAAAATAGCCCACCCCTCTAAATATTCCTGGGTTACATTATTTGTCTTTGCTTTGGCTATTTAATAAGGTATGGCTTGGCAAAGAGATAGTGTGGGTCGTACGCACCATGGTGTTTTTGCTGCCGCACTTTTTGTGTAAGTGTTCTTCCTTTGTAGCCTCTCTCTCTTTTGGTATCGATGTGTGAGTGACTTGGGTGTATTTGGGTTCTCCCATACCACTATAAAAAAAAAAAAAAAAAAAAAAAGGTT